CTCTATAAATCTTTCTTCTCGCACTTCTTTTTTGGACTCACCTTATCATCGCACCACCTTCTACTACCCTAAAGCTGACTGAGATTCCTTTCGTGTCTTTCTTCGTGATGGTCCTTGGGCTGATGTTTTTTCTCTCTCAGCTGACAAATGTGCCTCCTACGTAACCTCCTGGATTCAAGCTGGAATGGAAGCTTTTATTCCTTCGCGTCGGTTTCAAGTCAAGCCTTATTTTACTCCATGGTTTTCTCCTTCTTGTGCAGCTGCTATATCCAATTGTAATCATTTTTTTCATCTTTTTCAAAAGAACAACTCTCTTGAGAACAAACGGCTATTTATTATTGCAAGAAATCAATGTAAAAAGGTGCTTTCTGATGCTAAACTCTATTATTCTCAGTTCACTAAATCTCGCATCATATCGCAGAAGTTAGGCTCTAAAGACTTTTGGAAAATCTTCAACAGCATTATCAACAAGGGTAGATCTAACATTCAATCTCTCATTCATGGGACTGATCTTATTACCTCTCCCAAATATAAGGCAGAACTATTTGCAAAGAACTTTTCTTCTAATTCCACTCTTGAATCTTATGGACATTCTCTTCCTTCCATTCCAGTCAAACAGGTTGACCCATTGTTAGACATTCAAATCACTCCGGCTTCTGTTGCTAAAGTCATATCTCAATTAAACTCGTCTACAGCTTGTGGTCCAGACAGCATTCCTGTCACAGTCTTGCAGAATTGTTCTCCAGAACTTTCTTCAATTCTCTCTAAACTGTTTAACAAGTGTTTGACTGAGTCTTGTTTTCCTGCTTGTTGGAAAATGGCATCTGTGGTTCCAATATTCAAAAACTCTGGAGAAAATTCTGACCCCTCCAATTATCGTCCGATCAGTCTTCTTTCTGTTATTAGCAAGGTCTTTGAGTCTTTGATCAACAAATTCCTCACATCTCATCTTGAGTCAAATAAACTACTGTCAGACAATCAATACGGTTTTCGATCCTCTCGCTCTACGGCCGACTTGCTAACTGCTGTAACTGAAAGTTTTCATCGTGCATTAGATGGAGGCAGTGAAGCTAGGGCGGTTGCTCTCGAAATATCTAAAGCTTTCGACAAAGTTTGGCATGCTGGTCTTCTCCATAAGCTTGCTTCATATGGTGTTTCTGGGAAAGTTTTTGAGATTGTCAAATCATTTCTTTCTAACCCGTTTATTAAAGTCATCCTTGAAGGCCAACACTCTTCTTTATTTCCAGTAACTTCTGGGGTTCCCCAAGGTTCCATCCTGGGCCCTGTTTTGTTTCTTATCTACATAAACGATCTTCCTGACAACCTTTCATCTAAAGTAGCTCTTTTTGCTGATGACTCAACTTTATACTCTTGTCTTGACAAAAAGTCTTCTCTTTTCGATCGCCTAGAACAAGCAGCTGATCTTGAATCTGATCTCACTTCAGTAATAGATTGGGGTTCACAGTGGCTTGTGAATTTCAACTCTAAAAAACCCAGTTGTTTACTGCAAACAACTACCGTAATATAGTCAACATTCCTATATTAATGAATGGCAATCCTCTTACTGAGTCCTCCTCTTTACGTCTTCTTGGATTATCGCTTACTACTGATCTTTCATGGAAACCATATATACAATCGATTGCTAAATTAGCTTCTGCTAAGGTTTCTTCTCTTTATCGTGCTCGCCATTTCCTTACTTCTGATTTCATTCTCTACCTCTACAAATCTCTTATTCGTCCCTGTATGGAATACTGTTGTCATATTTGGGCTGGTTCTTCTAACGATTCACTTTCTCTTCTTGACAAGGTCCAAAAACGCATTGTAAATGTTGTTGGACCTGGACTATCTGCTAAGCTTGAACCTCTTTCCCATCGTCGTAAAGTTGCATCTCTTTCTCTTTTCTACAGATACTATCATGGTCATTGCTCAAAGGAGTTATCATCTCTAGTTCCATCAACTAAAATTCATTTTCGTTTTACTCGTCATTCAGCTAAGTCTTATTCGTTTACTGTGTCTGTCCCTGCATGTTCTAAAAACTTTTATTCATCTAGTTTTTTTCCCCGCATTTCAATCCTTTGGAACTCTCTCTCATCTTCATGTTTTCCTGACTCATACAACCTTCAACTTTTCAAGTCTTCTGTCAACCGTTTCCTTGCTCTATAACTCTGTTCTTTTTTTTCTTCCTAGTAACTCCCAACTTAATAGTGGTTGCTTGCAGCCTTGTTGGGAGTGAATGCAAACAAAAAAAAAAAAAAAACTTTGTTTTTTGTCATATACATATTTATTTATTATTATGACATATATTATTTACATATTTGTTAAATCAAAAGGTAATCAACAACTAAGTTGCTTAGTGGTTTTGAAAAAAATATAAGAGTTACCCATTAGATATAAGTATCATCTTCAATCGTTGGCCAGATAGATATAACTTTAGTTCGCCGAGCAGTAATTAATGTACTTTAACAATTTTTTCATGTTGATGTAAAGGAAAAAGCAGACT